TTTTGGTTATGTTTCTGTCGATATGAAATATTTATATGTTCGTTAAATTTTTTATATTGTATATGCTTTTCTACCCGTCTATTATGTTTAATTAAATACTTTGAAGAAGAGAAGATACAACTGACGTAAAAAAAGCTAAAAAGAAAAACTTAATTCTACTTAAGGAAAGACTTGCGATATAAAAAAGTTTAATTTGACTTAAGAAAGACTCGTCTACTTATGTCATTACGTTCGACTCATTGTTTATCCAGAATGGTTTCTCACGTCGGTTTGTTCACAACTCCACATCAGGTGTAATGAGCCCTTCCCATTCGGGAAAAGGAAAAGCTTCCAGGGGAGAAAACAGTGAGGGACTTTTCGTGTTGCGGCGCTGCGAAAAACACCGTAGTTTCACGCTCACTCCGTGCTAAATTCCTGTTTTTTCTTCGTTGACACTTGCTGTAATTTGCTTTTTTCTTAAAGAGTTTTTGTCGCCGTTATTTTGTTATTCTCGGGCGAGAAGAAGAACAATTATTATAATTGATAAGTAGCGAGCAATCGATACTTCTTTTTCTTTCTCTTAATAAGCAGTCTTGTCTTTAAGCCACAAAAATCAGTCTTTTAAAGAATTTATATAAATGCCTGTTTACATTATTTATTTATTTATAGAGCCTGAATTAATTAAAAATTAGCGAAATTATTGCTATATTTCTTAAAAAATATAAATCTTAAAATATCAGCTGTTTTTAAATATTCTTGGAAAGCATTTTTGAACGATTCAAAGACATTAATAATTATGAATAAAATTAATTAGTGCATACGAAAGAAAAGTAATATTTTTATTATAAATATTGCAGATATATGTTAAAAGCGAACGAATTTAATGACAAAAAGTCTTTTTTATGAAAAATAATGCGTAAAATATCTCTCGCACAATACGAGTTATTTCATCCGTGACATAATTAATGTTTGTTCTATATATATTTTTGTACGTTCAAATGAGACAACAAATTCATTGTGACGTACGTACATTTTATTTATCATTCATCTGGATATATTTTCAGATTACACATTGGATACTATTAATATATTTGAATCCTAACGAAAAGGATAAAGTATAGAAATCCGTTAATAATAATAAAAAGGTAATACGTATAAATGTTCACATAAATCGTTTATTCCAATGGAAAGACATATTTTTAAATTTCACAAGCTTCACATTCCCCATAAATAAACCGTATTTATACCTCCAATTGAGAGATTCGAGACTCCTCGCTGAGAGTTGAGACACGACAACTAGGAGTTGTTGTGTCCTCACAAGGAGAAGTTTGAAGTTCCGGATTGGGAATTGAAGATCGAGAGTTTACAGTAGGTACATGTAACCTCTCGCAAACATCATTCGATATCATATTTTGATAAATCTTGACGATAATATTCAGCGCCTCTCCGGCGCGGTTTTATCACCGAATGACTCAAATCAGATTCCCAGCGACGAGCTGAAACTCCCTCTCGCTGAACGAATCGCGCAGTCGGATCCGCGTTCGCCGCGAAATAACGTCAAACATGAGAAACCTCGGTACACCCACCGGGTTTTATTTCGAATGTTCTAAAAAAAAAAAAGAACGGATTCGAGGCACGTAGATGTGCGCGCGTGTCTCGTCCGCGTTTGATCTCGATGACGACGGGCGCCGCGCGATTTTTATTCATACCGTTCCTCGCGAGCGGCGGGCGCGAGTTTCGCGCTGATGAAAACCTCGGGTCGGGATCTCTCTCGCGAGGAAGCGATGCTCGTCAACGGGCGCTTGTCAGGAAGCGATAAATATCGTCGCTCGTAAATATCACGGTTAGCAACAACAAATCCCGGCGTTACTTCGAAATCCCCACGCACGCGGGTAAATCTCGAAGGGGCGAAGTTGCACTTCGACACTCATTTTCACACATTCGTTGATGCTGCATTGTACGTTTAAAGACTAATATTTGAATATTTTAGAAAACATATAAATCTCTCAGATTATTTCAAACTAGACCGAGATACGAGCACACAAATTAATGCTGTACAGATATATTTCAATAAATTGTTTAAAATTATTTTGAGTTAATTAATCATTCTAAATACTGTTTTCTATATATTTATCTGCAACTAAAGGTCTTCTCGGAAATTAAGTGGATAGATAAACGTTTCTGATACTCTGTCTTGATATAGTTTTCGTAAGAAAGAAAACTGGAAGGATAATCTAACTGGGTCACTGATAACAAGTATAAGTGGTCCAAAGTGATAAACTTGATGTTGCTACAGATCTCTTGTCCAGTTTAGAAACTTTATTGGGCGAGGACAACATGGTGATATTATAAAGTATAATATCGTCTTATGGGAGACGTGCACGTACTCTTGCACGCGGAAATTCAAAGTTCCGCGCATATCGCATGATCGAAACTATGGTGGACAAACTATGAAAATATATACAAGGTATTTCCTGGCTCTTGAGATAGCCCAAGTTTCAACGGTGTGCCCTGAATTCTGAGTCACATTTCAGACAGGGTCTTACGGCATCGTATATAGTATTATCTTGCCTTTGAAATCGTAGCAAATAGAGTTACCTTAAAAATTATATTTCAGGTTCTATTTCTTGGTTCTAAAGAATCTTTGTAACCCATTTCTCATATTGAAAAAAAAAATGTATAATCTTGAAAACGCGAGGTAGCTTTATTTAAAGAATAAAAATAACTTTTTTTATTTAACTGTATGTTTGTGCGTGTGTTGAATGTTTATTCGAAACTTCTGAAGTTTGATTTTCGTTCTCCATCATATATATAATTATATAAATATAAATATACGAATTTATATAAATATAAAAATTATTTGTATTTATATAAATATATTATATTTTATATAAAATACAATATTTGTATTTATTTAAAATATTTATTGTATGCGAATAGAAAAATATTGTGAATTTTGATCGTAGATATGTTACTGTCATCATGCGCTTGCACGCAACGTATAAACATAATGCGATAATCTGTCAAAGTGCGGTAAACATCTCGAGAGTCGCTTAGCTTCGGAGCCTCTTTTTTTTTCTCCATTCTCGTTCAAGACACGCCAGTTGGGTCAAGCCAGATAAATGGTCTGTCGAGGACATCCTTCTCAGAATGGAATCCATCCTTGATTCTGTTTGCCCAGCGGAACACGGAATAATCGCCACGCGCGACCGTACTCGAATTAAATCGAAAAAACGGTGACGATCGATCTTATTTTATATTAACAAATATTTAGATGTGTTTCAATCGCGCTCTGCTTCTCCCCCTCCCTCCCAAGAAAAGAAATCAGCGTGTCAATATTCTATCGATGTGCTATGTCGATATCATCCCAAGTTTGTAAGCTGGGAGGGGGGGGGGGTTTAGTGTGATATATGGAAGCAAAGCAGTATTAAATTTAACCCTCCAACGCAATAAATTCTTTTAACTCTCCTTCAATAGAATTTAAAAAGTGGTAAATAAATACAATTTTTTAAATAAAATTGCTAAGAAAATTTCGCGAGAAACACTAGAATTTAAGAAAGACTCGAAGTATTACAAATTTTTTTAAGTACATCTCGTGCGAAGCGCATATGGATTTTTCGCGAAAAAATTTACCATCGACATTCTCCCCCGTTGAGATTGATTTATGCCGCTCGAGATTCGCATGAAGTTCGAAAGTAAAGCTAACTTATTAATAAACGCACGTCTAACCACGTCTAACGTACGGCGCGTAAACTAAGCGGAGAGCCAGGCTTCCGCGCGCTTGCACACAGTTTTCCGTGGAGAACGGCTCTCTTCGCGCCGCTTCCCGTGGGACGCATTCGCCGTTCCCTGTGTCGACGTTCTTTGCATAATGAAACGGTATCGCTTGTGCCTCGTTCTCGTACCTCCCCCCCCCTCTCTCCTCCCCACCCTCAAAGATCGAAAGAGCACAGTGATTCCTTCGGCCTTCTCTATACCTTTTATTTAATTCCTTGTGGTGAATATCGAGGGGAAAATAAAATTCGATACGCCTTTAATACGCTTTTAAAAAATGCCTTTACACAATAGGGAGGGGGGGGGGGGAACTCGGCGGAAAATCTTCCCCGAGAAATTTGACGAGCGCGACCCTCGAGAGGATTCCCGATTAACGCGCGAGAGATGACTTCGACGGATCAGTAGCACCTTGTTAACCCCGTGTTACTCCCTCGACGATTCACCGCTGCGCGTATAATATCCACGCTCGTGCGGCACCCTCTCTTCAGCGCCGTCTTATTGCCGGAATAACGTAATACTGCCTAGCCTAGCGCGTAGTCGGCGAGAGATCGTCGTCGCGACGACGACGACGACGACGACGACGAGGCGCGAGCGCGCTAAGACGCCTCTCTCCATCCGACTTAACGACATTCCCGTGGCGGATTAGATCGGGGCGGGGGCGCGAGATGGTAGGGCTGCAGAGAGCGAGATGGGGGCGGCAGGCGCCCCGTGTCGAATGGGATAGGATTAGCCGGAGATCCGGCGAACTTGAAACGCGCGCGGATGCTGCGCGCTTAGCGAGAGAAGATCCCGACGTCGAGACGTCACGCTCCGCGCGTGAGATTTTCGCCGGTCCGCATCGTTTACGCGCGATTTAATGGAGGCGTTTACCCACACTTTGCGCCCTTGGCATAATGCAACACCGTCGGATATTGGGATGCAAAGCGCGCGGTTGAGAGCGCGCAGGCAGCTGCAAGGCAGCGCCGTCGGGGTCTTTATAGCTGACTACAACCGCGGCGTCGACTTGACGGCTGCGTCGAGCCTAGCATTTATTTAGCAGGAGAAGAGAAATTTCTGTTCAAATAAATCAATCTGTCTCAAGAAAGGAGAGAAAATATATCTTTTACATATATATATATATATATATATATATATATATAGATTAAATTAACCGTTTATAAAATAAACGTCGTACTTTAACAATTAAAAATTATTTAATTAAAACAGGAACCTGATTGAAATCTAATTGGATTCGTTATTTCTCACAGGAATCCGACAGCTTGGCGGTGTTCTCCGAGCTGCTGAGATACACGAGCGTGCGTGAGCTGAGCCTATGCAACGCGCGCTTGCATTTAGCGGTGCACGAAGGTCCACTGTCAAGATTGGGACGTCGCGACGACGCCGGCGCCGAGCTCCTGCGAGCCGCACCGCCCCCGGCCTGTCCCGCGATCGTCTTCCTGAGGCTAGCCGGATTTCAAGTGAGTGAATACCCTCGTTTCTTCTTGGATACTTAGATCTGTTCCGCAAAATCGAGATATTGTATCAAGTAAACGTTCATCTCTTCCAAATTTTTCTCGAAAATCCGAACGCGACGAGAAAAAGCCGATCATAATTTTTTATTACCGCCTAATCGTTTATTCTTATTTTATTTTTACAATTGGCTGAAAATATTTATTATTTTCTTTAAATCAAAAAATCAATCTTTTTACGAAAATTTCGATTGTTACGTAACTTTAATGTTTATACACGTATAATCGAGAGATCGTAGTTTACATAGCGCTTTGTACAGTATTACAGTGAAATGAAGGATAAATTAATTAGCGGGAGATCCTTGAAGCGGTCTAACTCACCTAGAACTCGCCTATACAACTCGCTTATATGAACTTGATCCCACAATGTAACAGTGCTGCAATGACATATGCAATCCCATTATATCGGACTAACGTACGAAGCTTTGACCATTTGCTGATGCAGTTACACGCCTTCGAATGTGCGCCGTGCGTATCCGGGCGGCTGTGCCATTTACGGGAAGATAACATACGTATACGGCATCGCGATTCCAGTTAGACGCAGATGTAGCTGTCTACCGACTGTCTCTCCGGAGCTCCCGAGTATACGGGGATGTACGGGGCTGTGTAGCTATCGTGTTCCCGGGATCTGGAGCTGGAACCATTAGACACACCCGCGCTCTCTCTATGAGGTGCAGTCCGTGATGCGAAGTCCCTTCGCTCACGGAGATGATTCGTCTCGCTTGAAAAATGGATCTCCGTTACGGGTCCGCCGTTACGGGAGAACACGCCACGAAGAAAATCGGTTAGCCCGCTGGAACACCGAGTATCGCGCGTCGCTCGCCCCCTCACCTAATATGATCCCTCCCCCGCTCCCGGGTAATTCCGATTCCGGTCAGGAAATTGCGAACGTGCTCGCGTCCATGTAACATTTCCTAATATCGTCTCACTGAAAGTCTGATTTCGGACAGGGATCTTCGGAACCCAAGAATCCTACGTATCCAGAAATTTTGTGCAAAAGGCGGAAGGGCGCGAAATACCAATTATCATTTAGCCCGTGCGACGGAAATTCATGCACACGGAGTGCGATGCGATTTTCGGTATTAGAAGAAGAAGTAAAAAGAAAATAGAAAAATGGAATCTTGCATTTTGAATATAAAATATTTAATCCTTTTCAAGACTGTTTAATCGATTCATTTTCAAATCCATAAACATCTTTAAAAATCTACTTTTCCAATTTACTTATTTCACTTGCTTCGGAGATGTCAAAAAATTTCCTGAGACACCCTGTAGAATGTAATACTGCATTTCTTTTAAACAAATAGGATTATAGAATTTTATGAAAATGTAAAAGCAATTTTTTTCAACGTACGTACGAAAATAATCCTTAGCTATTTTTCACTCGGAAAAAGTCATATATTAATAAAAGATGATACTATAGTAACTATTTCATTTCACGTCGTGAATGCCAAATTCCATGGCCGGAACGTCTGCCAAATCTCGTGTCCCTTTCCTCTCTCTTATCTATAGGTCATATATATTTTCTATTACATGCGCAATTACTGTCGGCCGCACCACGACGGCGATAAATAAAAGACGGCCCGGACCCGACATTCGTCTTCGTAGTCCCCGTATTAAAACGACCCCCAATTCCACCGTCCTCGCCTCCGTGCGGGATATCCCTAAAATAAATCGCCAAACTTTGCAGCCGCGTTCCTCATCTTTGCCAATTTGCAATTCGATTTCACCTTAATGAAGATACATCTTTCTTGAAGTTTTCAATTAAGTACTTTTATTTTAATGAATTCTCAAGTTGAAGGCATAACAACGCCCCTCACTTGTCTTTTTCAAAGGCAGGAGAAAATCAGTTCAAAATCAATTGAAAAAAAAACTCACAGAAATGAGAAGTTGATTGCCAGATCTGTGTCATCTTGTGCATGTCTTTCTCTTTCGATTCTCTCAATCTGTAAACGAAAGCGAAACAAACTGCGCCCGATGAGATCTACTGACGGAATTATTTCTGATTGCAGGTAACGGTGAACGATCGTCTGGCGCTGCGCGGGCCGTTGCTGCTGCCATTCCTGGCGGGTTTCACGTCGCTGAGCGAGCTCGACTTGTCGCTGGACAAATCGACGATCGGCGGTAGCAGCGGGTCGCTGCTCTTCATCGACGACAAGATTCTGCAGCAGTTCTTCTGCTGCCTGTCGGCGCACTTTCGCAGTCTGCAGTCGCTCCGGATCAACTTCTGGCGGATCACCCTGGAGGACAGCGACCGCACGATGCGACAGATCGCCAAGCACCTCAAGCTGTGCGGCCTGAGCTTCCTCAGGGCGAACGGTCTGATCGTCACCGACAGCGCCAAGCGCGTGCAGATGGAGCACGTGTTCGTGCAGACGGTCCTCACGCACCTGCAGTGCCTCACCTGGCTGTGCCTGGACGGCGTCGAGCTGACCGAGACGCAGGCCACCAGCGTGGGCAAGTGCGTGCGGGACCGTTACCCCGGCACCACCCTGGAGATCAGCGCCAAGGACGTGCACGTGAGGTCGGTCAAGGCCCTGGTGACCGCGGCCGAGGAGGGCGGCAGGACGGAGGTGGTTTACACCGGCGGCTCCAGCTGCCGCCTGAAGATCACGAAGCTCCAGAAGGGCGGCCGGGGCAAGAAGAAATGAGGGGATCGCGGCGATAATTCGGAGGAAGTTATCCTGGCACACGGTTTACCGCGAGGTAAAGGGAAGGGGAGAACGAGAGGAGTCGATCGAACGTGAGATCGATCTCTTCGCGGACGCGACTGTGGAGAACTAGGAGAGTCCCGGACGGTTGAAGGCACGGAGAGAGGGAATGGATTAAGTCAACAGATCGCGCTGGAGAAGCGATGCGGAGAAGCCCGGGGAATCGGAAAAGGGATTAGATAAGACGGAGATATAATGTAGATTTTCTAGAAGCGACGGATATCGAAGGGAGAGAGTATATACGTCGAGAGCGAGCATCGTCGATTTCAGCCGCGTGTAGAGCGAAGAGAAGGTTGAAGATAGGTAGGGGAATACGAAAAAGGGAAATGCGGGTTAACTTTGCGGATTTTTCGTCTTACTGTGATTTCGTTTCCTGCGCCGTCAAGCGCGCTCATCTATGACATAGACTCTGTAGATTATAGCGATTTGTTAGAATCTCGAGAATGATTCGAAGGCAATGAGAGGTGCACTATGCTTTCACTCATCTAACGCGTTTAAGAAATTAACGAGATGCTAAAACGAAGATAATTTAATTTATTATACCTATAAAAGTAAAAAAAAAATTTAAAAAGATTAGAGGATACGTGGAAAAATACAAAAAAATAAACAAATTGTATGTTATAAATAAATCCATACGTCAAAATTATTAATTCTTGCTCATGATGACACTTGCAAACAAGTATTTAAAAAATAAACGCTTCAAAATGAGAGACAAAATTTCACATTTTTAACCAGGCGTTTTTACTTTTGGCATTATTTTAAAAATGTGAAACTTTGTCTCTCATTTTGAAGCGTTTATTTTTTAAATACTTGCTTGCAAGTGTCATTATTAGCAAGAATTAATAATTTTGACATATGGATTTATTTATAATATACAATTTATTTATTTATTGTATTTTTCCACGTAATCTCTAATCTTTTTGAAATTTTTTTCGTTTATGGCATAATGAGTTAAAATATCTTTGCTGTATCTTGAAATATTTGTTTCAACGGGTAAAAGAAACATCGCGTTTGTTTCATATTTTATATATATGCTATTATAATTATAATCAATAATTTTTTACGTGTGGCTCTCATTATTATTGAAGAAAATCGGTACCGTTGAATAAACGAAAGTATTCGATATCGTGTGGAGCAATGTTTTTCTCGAAATTTTTTCAGGGGGGGGGAGGGGGAAGCGAAAATGAGAAAGGGATGCAGAAATATTTGTCGCGTAAGAGAAGGATGTTTAAACGGTGGAAAAAGAGGCTGTTGCGATTACATAAGTATCGTTCGTTGTTGTTAGATGGAGATGTAAAATACGATTCAGAGTAATATATTATTAGCGATATAGATCACATCACGATCGTCACGATATTATTAAATGTTATAATCGGCCGTTATTCGGCGAGATGCGGGCCGAGATGCCGGTGGCTTTACCGAGAGATGTTGTTGGGGATTTGGAGAAATTTTATAGAGTGAATTTTAAACGGTAGGCACACACGAAGAACAATACACGCACACACGCATACACATACAAATGCACGTATACGTGCGTTTCCGCGGCGACATGAAAAGAAAGAAAGTCTCGAATACTCGTAATTCTTACGATAGAAGATACATAATAAGGCAGGCACCCGACGCAGGCTATTGTTGTATAAAGTAATTAATTATTGTAAATTAAGATGACTGCCAAATCGTAATACACGGAGGAACCGCTGCATTCTTCGTGCGCCGCACTTTAGCGTTAAAAACTCGACGTTCCGAGGTTTTTGATGAAAAGAAAAAAAAATCGCCTCAAATGTCATCGCGGACCGACAGTCGCCCGATTGCGTTTAACGCTAAATGTGAGCTGCCGAAGCTCTGATATTGATGTCGCGCTTTTAGGAAGAATCGTTCTTACGATCGATGCGACGAAAAAAAAATCCAATAGACCGCATTTTAAAGACGAGCTGCTCAGAACAATGTTACGCAGCATTGATCTCGATCGATCGATCGTGATCAATTGCCAGTGCACCAACGATAACTGCCATTCAACTGGAACCACCAATGAAAATAAAAAGGAGCGATCCTTGATAAAGATCACTCCATCTTCGTAACGTCGGTCAAAAGTTCGAGCAGAATAATACCTAATTATATATATCAATATTTTAGGGAATAATTTAGAATCTAGAAAAAATATCACATATAGGTACATATAGTCATTATTAGATATATTAATATATTCGAAATAGAATAATGTAATTGTAATGCGTATGTATTACAATCATATAATATCATTTTTAATATTTTAAAATATCTGATAATAATTTTATACGCATATTCCTATAATTTTTTTTCTTGTCTTTAGAGATTTACTCCCTGAAATACTGATATAATAAAGAATCATTTTGCATTTGTTGAAATAAAAATTAAACATCCTTCTAATATTTGAACTTTTTCTGATATATTTCTTGGATATAAAATATCGAGTCAACAACAAATTTTGAATTGCCTAAATAATTGTGTGAAAGTACTTATGTATTTTCGAACTTTCACTTCTGAAAAATTAATTATAAGGCATTTAATGTTAAATATTTTAAAGATACGAGTTTTTAAAGGGATTTTTTAATATTAACTTTTTTTATTATTTAAATGTATTTTAAATTCAAAAAGTGCAACTAACAGCTCAACAAAATTATAATTAGATTTTCTAATAAAATAAAGATCTCTAAAAATATTTTTCTGCTTATGTTATTATGTGGTTACTAAAGTCTCATTTTATAAGGAGTAGTTTATTTTTTTTTATAATACGTTTGTAATAAATAATGGCAAACTTTTGACCGGCGTTCTGTACAAGATAAAACTCAAAAACTAAAGACTCCCCCGCGTTTCGTAGATCGCTCCTTTTTATTTTCTCTCCCTTTTTGTGACGTTTTTCCGAAACGTACAGTACCATCCCGCGTAATCCTTTATTGTCCGACTAGATACGTATAAGTGCTCCCGCTCGAGCGTACGTACGACGAATTTTGTCATTTTTGATAGTTTGCTATGTACATAAGAGTCTCTTCGATTATACCGTGCGGCGCGACGGTAATCACACCGCGCGGTCTGTTAAACATTTGTGAGCCCGTTTTACGAGGAAGTCAACACTCGGCAAGACTGAAAACTATTACACATACATACACACACACGCACACACACGCACACACATATACACATGTGCGCAGAGAGGAACATCCAACAGAAATATACATATACAAAAAAATATACACGCTGGCCGAGCGATATATCCGCGGCGACTTGCGAAATAAGCGCCCAACGTACCCACATGTGGAATCAACTTGAGTAATTTTATTATAAATATTTATGTATTTATATGTGTATACATATCCTCTCCAAATAAATGTAATATGTGTTTGAAAGCTTTTCATCTTGATAATCGTGAAATCAGCGATTCGAGCTACTTGGCAAACGTATAGGCGAATTTGCAGGAGGAATCCATGCGGCATCAAGAGTTATCGATTCGCTTCATTTCACATCGTTGCTATTATCATTGAGATAAGAAAGAAAACCGCGTACTTACTCATTAATGCGATACGTAAAAATTAAAAAGTATGACTTTTGCGGAAACTTAGGCAAGCAGCTATAATAACGTAGGCTGTTAATATTGCTAAATTAAGCGACCTTCACTTATCATAAATCGTGAAAAAATTAGCTCGTGCTCCGATAACGATTAAGTCCCGTATAAACTGCGAATTGTTAAAAAGACTATAAGGAGGCGGGTCAAAAGACTCGAGGAGAGTCTGTTGCAAGTAGATATTTTTATTACTTACATATTTCTTTTTTATAATAATACACACGTAACCCGCGCATTTATAAATCTATACAATGATGGTATTTAGAAAAACGTAACAAGAGTCGCGGAAACGTAATGAGTTTCCTTTCGTGCGTTACCAGCAGATACTCTCACTCGATTCATCTAAGAAAAAGAAAATTGTTAATTATCGCAACTGACACCGTGACACGCGACCGTTGACAAGTTGTGTTTCTTCGTAAAATCAAATAATCGAAAGGGTTCTACTGCGATATCCTTATTATTCAAACACAATTGTACAAATTTTGGCCTGCGTTATCACAATCGGAATCAATACTTTGACATCTCAATACTCGTGTATATATTAATATTTATTATAACACATACATATTTATTAAATTAATATATAATACGTATTAATATGATACACGCGTAGAATGCAAAATCGTTCCCTATTGATCTATTTACCTCGTAGGAATGCAAAAGTCGTTCCCCCTATTGATCCCTTTATCTTTATTTCACATCGTAGCTATTATCATGGAAATTATCGATGAAATCGTTACTAAATCTGTGTGTTTCAGTCGCCTATTATCTAATCGCTAAGTTTTAGGGAGAAATATTGATTTCTCGATCAAGAGATCCAAAAAGTTTACGTTGCATTTAGGAAGTAAGCGTTCTGCAAAAGATCAAATCAAAGAGGAAATGTATTTTTCAGAGAAAAGAAATTTTTGAAATTCTCCCACCTGCCATAGATACTTTCGCAAGCTTCGACCTTTCACGTCTCGTTAACTTGCAATATTCCATTTATTTGACTACAAATCGGCAATTAGCCTGATAACATAATTATAAATTATATACAAATAATATTACACAAATTCGTCCAACAGATTGTGCATACATAACCAGTACGGTTACTCAACAAGTTGTTTCATGCATGCTAAGTTGTGTTTCTGAGTAGTTACAGTAACAAGGAAGGTAATACTTAGCATGGACGGAAAAATACAAATAGCAATCTCTCTTTTGAATCATGGTATAAAAATGATGGGATATATTCTCGTGTAAAAGTACTCTTTCGCGTTATGCGTGTTACTTACTCTGTACTTTCGTTACTTCTTGCACAGATATGACTAGCTCTCTAAAGCTATGTCCCCAGGATATTGTTATGGCCGCTTGCGTTGCTCCAACATCTATATGATACCATTCCACAAAGTTACGGCAATTAAATTTTATGTAGAAACGATAATTGTCTCCATCAATTGTTATACAAATCATTTTAAAGATACAGACTCACTTTTGCTCGCGGAAGTCTTGTTAAAAAGCATTCGTACAAACGCACCTTAAGGCATCATTGCAAAAATAAAAAAATCTAAGTAATGCTACTCTTACATTACGATACAGCTAAATTAAACCTGGATTCGAAATGCTCACTCGCAACAATGAAAAATTACAAATCAAGGCTCATGCGAACGGCGATGGGCCTTCGCTTTCGACAGAGGTAAAGTATTTATATAAAAGATGAACAGTGAGAACATCTGTTCCGGAGAAGAGAATGTAACTGTACCGTTGTATCTTAGTGTCTAATACCAAGATGAGAGATACATCTTTTATCGTACATCGCGTTTTAGAAATCGGGTTTAAGTCATACAATTTGATTCACTTGGAAATTCTTAGGAATTACTTTTTTTTCCAATCGTCCCGCGTCAGTAGCTCGTCTCCTAAGGCATGCACGATCCTCAAACGGTTTGCAGTCCAAGATGATACTGATTGCCATTCCAATGCGCACAATCACAGACTTTTGACGTAGCGAAGACATTCTGCTGCGGCATCGCCGCGTTCCCCGTCTCCTCGTAACAGAGCCTGCAGATAGACGTACTTCCGTTACACTCGTAAGAGCGCTCCGCGACGCCTTTCGTGGATCACATGGGAGCGTAGTCGAGCTGGACCGTGAGCTGCCTAACGCCCGCCGCCTGGAAAATCTTTTGCGTCGTCATCACGACGGATTTGGGATCCACTTCCCTGGCCACCTCCAGCTTCATACATCCGACGTACACGTCCGAGCACAGGGTCCAGAAGTGCGGGTCCTGCACGCTGTATACGCCGGGTATCTGCGTCACCTTGTTGTAGCACTGCGGCAGAACGTGGTCCAGCGCCACCGGCTGCCGCTGCATAAGTACCTCCCACGACTCCTTTATCAACGAGGCTACACTTAAAACTATCAATACTGCTATGAGCATGGAGCAAATCGGATCGGCGATCATCCAGCCGAACATCTGCATCAGCACCGCCGATATGATCACCCCCACGGAGCCGAGGGTGTCCGCGAGTATGTGCAGGAATACGCCCTTCATGATTTGCGAGTTCGTACCACTGAAGGACGTTTCCACCTCGACGTGGTGATCGTAGTTGTGATTCAGGAGCGGCGAGTAGTCATGATTCTGGGAGTGAGAGTGGTCGTGGTGTCCCCTCCCGCCGTGACTGTGACTGTGACTGTGGCTATGACCGTGGCCACCGTGCCCATGGCCGTGTCCGTGTTTAAATGCACATATTCCTACTAAATTCACTATCAACCCCATCACGGAGACCACGAAGAGCCTCTCGTGCTTGATCTCCGGCGGCTCGATGGCACGCTCCACCGCCTCCGACATGATGAACAGGGCTATGAACAACAGGAGCAGTCCGTTGACGAAGCCGCCCAGCACCTCGGCTCTAACGTATCCATATGAGTATCTGTCGTTCGCCCGCCACCTGGTGATGACGGACGCCGCTAAACCGAACAGCAGGCCCGTGCAGTCGAAAAACATGTGGAAACTGTCGGAGATCAGACCGAGGCTGTTGGTCCATATCCCGTACAGCAGCTCGACGAAGGCGAAGGACAGGTTGAGAATCAGGAACAGAAACAAGTTACGGATGTTCTGGTCGGAGAAAAGGAGGCTCTTCCAGCTCAGCAGCCTCTCCTTGATCCTCCTGCGGAAGTTGGAACGCGAGTCGCGCGGACTGTGCGACAGTGGCAGCATCTTGGAATCACGCTGATCCTACAGGCCTGAATCTGGTCCTGCGGAAGAAAATCTAATGTCAATTACAAGATCCCAAAACAGAATATATATAAAAAGTGAGCTTTTCGATATTAAAACAAAGCAAAGATACCAAGGTAAAAAAAAACTTCATGTTAAATAAAATAAAGCGAAATAAAGTTTCGGTATCGGGATAAAACAAGAATGTTAAAAGTGAAGCTTTGATATTAAAATGAAATAAAGATATCGAAGTGAAGTTTCGATGAAGCAAAGGCATTCTAAGAGAGAATATCGTACATATATATATTTTTTATGAAAATTGCATTTACATTTCTCATGTCGAGCAACCGTATCTATATATTTTCGTAAATGTGTGCAACGCAGCACACGTGCATACATACGTTGCCAGAAGGTCGTTCCGGCCGAGGTAACTATGCAGAAATCACATAAATTCTTAAGAGCACACGCGCACCTGCAGAATGTGAGTCAAAGGCACCGGAGTCTCTCTTCCGCAACACGGAGAAACGAAGGGCAAGCAAAGCGTCGGGAGCCGAGCGCGATTCATCGGACCAGGGCCGCGGCTCGCCGACATACGGCGCATTCCCAGCTGTTTGACACGCGTCAAGTTTTCGGGGCAATTGGAGCAACACGTACATGTGCACGCGAGCGTGCGTGCGTGCTTGCGTATGTACGTACGTACATACGCGCGCGGCACGGTGCGGCGCGGCGCGGCGGCGGCGCGGCGTGACACGTCCACGTCCACGTCGGGAGCAGCGGGTGCCCTAACCTAACCTAATCCGCGCGCCCCGGGGGGAGCGCGGATCACTCACCTCGTCCCGTCATCGACGTCAATCCGCCGTCCCGACGTGCGGCATGCCGGCCGTCAGAGACGCGGAGATCCGGATCGCGCGCGGCAGGAGGGTGCACGGTGTAGGAGTGTGGCCATACCGCGTGGTCCTGATCGGTCGGTCGATGGGTGGATGAAACAAGAGGGAACGGGAGTCGACCGCGACGGCTCGCCAGCGAGGAAACCAGCTGGCTGCTGAAAGTGTGAACGTCGTCGACGCGCGCCTCTCGTAGACTCTCCCGCGATCCCCGGCGTCGACTGGCGTCGACTTGTCACTCGTCGGCCTTGTCGAATGTCGCCCCGCCGCTGCTGGCCGCGAATACGTCCACGTCGCGCGATTTGCCGTCCGGTCGCGACTTCGATCAGCGTAGTTACTTGCGACCGGAGTTGACCGGATGCCGCGGATCGGCGGGCAGACGGCGCCGCGATCGCCCCCGCCGGCGGAAGTGACAGCGCACGCCATAGCGCCGCACGGTCGACTTCCCGTCTCTTTCTCGTGCGACAGCCACCATGGTGAGTGTTTCACGTGTTAACTCGTGCGATTTTCGAGCGATGTTTTTGCCGCGATCCCGCGACAGATCCGTAGATATTACGTAGCGCACGGGAGAGTCTCACGGAAAATGGTAAACTTCATTGGATTGCAAGTTACGCGCGCCGGGTCTTGTTTACCGTACGAGGCGCGAACGTTCTCTCGTCCATGTGCCGCAACAAATTTCATTTCTTTCCTTTATTCTTCTCGGCTCCGTGGTGAATACAATGCGTACTTGACGCTGAAGGGAAGATAACGATTACATGTTGTGAAGAATCGATTGAAATAACAGTGGGATGTTATCATACCAATAACATAACCTATCTTACGTCGCGCCAATGAAGTCTACCTGCACGTTGATACTTCTGTAAATTCCAAACTCGATTTTGTTGCCCTTTTGCAAATCTGAATGCAAATACGATGCGACATATGCGTGTTCTCTCTTTCTTCAGTTTCTCTTTTTTACTTTGGATTGTGATTATCACATTTTTGCATTCAGGTAAAATCACACTGTTGAATCTTTGTATTTTCCTTTAGTAGAAACTTGTTTGACGCTACAAATACTTCAAAGCATTCTTTGCGATTGAGCAATTAGTAAAATTATTTCTTTTTTTCGTGTTAGTAAAATTCCTCCTAAATGATACATAAAACAATTCAGACGATACATTTCCAAAAAAATACTGAAGATAACTTTCTATTTTATATATATATATATAATTTTTCATAAAAATAATGACCAACTATTTCTAGATAACTGTGACAGTAAAATACTGATTTAATGAGTCTGACTGTGATTCTTAAATACGATTGAACTTCGTCTCGCTACGAATATATCTAATGCATTTGATCTATGTTATTATAGCCGCCTAAAAAGGATACAAAGGGTTCCTCTAAACAGCCGCAGAAAACCCAGAAGAAGAAGGAGGGTGGATCTGGTGGAAAAGCTAAGAAGAAGGTTTGTACATCCCTACATCATTTGTGAGGGATAATTTTAAAATTTAAGCTATTAATCTCACTTGATGTGCATTTTTAAACTTGATTAATCGTGGAAGTAAAAACTGATTTAATGAGTCTGATGAGATTTTTAATAGTCATTTTCAATGTTATGATCATGTTGGAATCGTCTTGACTCAAATGTTTCTTTGTATTCCTGCAGAAGTGGTCCAAAGGAAAAGTACGTGACAAGTTAAATAATCAAGTACTCTTCGACAAGCCCACATATGAGAAGCTGTTGAAAGAGGTGCCGCAATACAAACTGATCACCCCCTCGATCGTCAGTGAAAGATTAAAGATCAGGGGATCTCTCGCCAGACGGGCGCTGATAGAGCTTCAGCAGAAGGGCCTGATCAAGCAGGTCGTGCAGCATCATGCGCAACTTATCTATACACGTACTACGAAGGGAGATGACCCAGCGGTATAATATGTAAACAACAATTTAATAAAAAAAATAGTTAAAATATAACTTTTATTTTTCTAAACGAAAGTCTCTCTCCAATCTATTGACTCTTAAAATTTTCATTCTACTGATTTCTGTAATCACGAATGTCTGACATTAAAGTTGAATTTCATTTTAGTATTAACTAAAAATATTTTATGTACGATAAAGCGCATATATTGTATAGTCTACAAAAAAAAATCAAAGAAACACCTTGACTAAAAAAAAGACTAAAAAAAAAGATTCATTCGGAAAACATTCTAAATAAAGTGAGTACAGCGTCTGCCGTTATTTCTCACGGCAATTCTACTGAATTATGTAGCGTCACGTTGAAAATCGTAAACTTTTTTTGCTTTATTTTTTATACTTATCGTAATAAACTAATTTATTCAAATATAATAAATAAAAAAATATATAAATAAACACTTATTACAACGGGAATTTAAGAAAATAAACGTATCTTTATATCAGAGAATAGTACATCAATACATAGAATTTGGCAATTATATATGCTACAATTTACAGACGAAAGTTAGCAGAAAATAAAATTCAATTAAAAATTAAATTATACTGACTACAAGTCCATAAAAGAAAAGTTGATTCAAGTACCCTCCAATTACTTTTATTTTATAAGAGTTACTTATAAAAACTATTCAACCACAAAACTCATTCAACAAATCTAATATTGTCTGTTTTACCATTTACCATTCGTAATTATCATACAGAACATTCTCCCATGTGTCAATCTCTTAACGCTTATCTGTCTAAGATATCTTTATTGAAATCGAGATATTTAACGCCCTGGTTTGACTTCTGAGGGCGTATTCGCAGGAACGTATTCGCTGAAACGGGAAAAATGTCTCGTTGCGTGCACTCGATGTTGCACGCGTAACTCGGTTTTTGCAATTCCCTATTCTTAGGCGAGCTGATACTACCGCTACTCGCGATATCACAGTACCTTACCTGCTGTCGAGTGTACTCGTCTAGGCCAGGTAAAAGACATGTGTCGCGCTGATCGTCAGCGTCGCGCATTCGATTTTTAAATAACTCCGGTTTTGAATCGATCAGGTTTTGTATCTTAAACAAATCTATGCTCACTTTGAGGCCAAACTCGCCGTTACTTCTCGCCCTAATCCTGCCATTATGACGCACGTGGTTCTCCTGAAACGCTGTACACCGAATGAACTTTCTAGACTCGTACATGTCGATCTGTTTATTCAGGATGCTACGCTCGAATCTCGTAATGCTGCTCGAGACATTTCGATTGTTATCCATCGGTCTCATTACATTCGTACCGTCCAAGTGTTTACAGCCGTTACGCAACGTCGGAGAATCGTCTGTATGATTTTCATTGCTAATTCTATCGTCATCGGTACGCAGGCTTGTCGGAACAGTGACAGCCTGCGAAACTTTCTCAACGGTTTTATTCATATTAACAACGCTTAAATCAAAATCAACGCTGGGTATTATTCTATTATTCTCTTTAAAAAATAGTCGAGCACCGGGCCTTTCTTCCGCAGGCAGCACGGGGATCGCACTGCATCGCATCGCGCACGGCGCTTCCTTGTGCTGCTGCGCGCCTTCTAAATCGACTCGCAAATTACCCTGGTTGCAATTGCTTGGAACAAACGTCACGCCATCCGTGTCCACATTCGCATTACGAGTCGTCCGATTTAATACACTTAAATTAGTATCACTTGAAGCGAGACGCGTCTCACCGCTGTCGTTCTCGCCGCAGAAACGACTGTTCGTAGTCGTCGCGTCGTCAACATTGCTCGTCAAACTTACATTGTCCAGCATACCGCTATGCGAGAGCATTCTAGTTCTAATCGGATCTAAATTCTCTTTAGCATCGTCCTGACCATGCGCTACGCACATAGTTTTGTCATCAATTAAACTATTTTCGTTTTTCGAGACGCGAAAAAGGTTATCGGAACGTTGTCTCTCCGCCGAGGTATTGTCGATGTGATCGGAGCTGCACGAGGCTTCACGTGGCGCCTTCAGGATGGACGACTCCTTTGGCGCCCGCGGTGCAGCTACTCCTGGCAATCGACTCTTACCCTCCTTGGGATTCTTCAACGAGATATTTACGGAGAACGTATCGTACAGCGTCATCTACATGGGCAATACATGGATCACAATTAAATTGACGCGAGACGAAAATTGGCGAATTCATCGTTCGTTGAAATCCATGTGAAATAATATACCTGAACACCGTTTGGCGCGCAGACTTGAAATTTAAGGTCGTGCAGATTCACATAACGCGGTATCAGTCTAGGTTGATGACAGGTGTTATGGTTGTTCGTGACTTGGGGGAAGACGCTACGGGTTGCGACGGAGCAGCTTTGGGAAATAGACTGCGTAGACTCCACGAATCGGTTGCTGATAACACTACACAACAGTAATAAATTAGCATTAATGCCAGAACAAAAAGTTAATCATACTCATATACTGTGTAAGAGCACTTGTTTTCTGTATTCAATTTTGATTCCCCTTTTGATTCCCCTCGCGCGGACTCGCCAATCATTTTCTAAATTAGCTTGCAATAAGGATCGAAGTTGGCACTTAAAAAATACTGTGCTCACCTCTTACGCTTATTGGATCGCTGGGATTCGCTTGTTCGACCGTCGCCCTTCCGACTGGTAGAATCGAACTCAGCAGGCCTGGTGCCTGCATCCCCGTCACACTGTTAGAATCGCAAGATATACACTGAAGAGGGGAGGGCACGGGGAAATTTATTTGACCACACACATATACGTATATATATATATGTATATGTATATATATATGTACCTCCCCGCGCCGTGTTTCTCACCAGAATATATATATTTCTATTTCAACTCGATGAAGAAAACGCGGGGCTTACGAAGATTATACAAAAATATTTTCAACGTTAGTGATACTCAAGTATCCGTGAGTTTCTCTTTATTTTCCAATGTGCTTTGTGAAATATTCCAAATATTCTCTTTGTCACCTAGATATTGATGTAGAAGTTCTTAGGAATTTCTTACTTACGTAGGATTTGTTTGAGGATTTGTTTCCACCGCTGGGTGTACTGGCAGGTGGTATACTTTCCCTCGGCGCAGTGCGTTGATGGTTTACCACTGGTGTTTGATTGTTGTTGTTCAGAATGGGCGTAGTTTCACCACCGGTATTCACGACCGATTGACTTACAATCAATTGGGCTGGATTGAGCACAGCAATGTTATCTGTCCGCGGTAGAAACACGCTGCTCGCTGGTACCGTATACAGGCTGCTCGCCTGGTCCGTTCTTCCGACGCTGTGAGCAATAGTGATGTTCGGGTTCGTAGGTATTCGTTGAAGATAATAACCACCGATTGAGGGAAGTTGCAGGATAAGCGAAGCATCCTTGGGGACAGGCACAATTTCTGCCGGCGCAACAGTTGCTCTAATGCTTTCGTTGCTCTGTTGTACGTTAACAGACGCACCGTTTTCTTGCAAATTCGGTACAATCTCATTTCGCACCTGACCCATTATTTGAATTGGCACATATTGCGTGAAGTTATTTTTTCGAATATTATTCGACAGCGGGATGGAAGTGGTGTTTGTAGACGCGGGTGTGCATTTTGCGGTATTATTATTATTCCTGATCTCACTGGACTTGCCAGCGGATGTGCCTTCGCTGCTCTGCCGTCTATTCGTACTATTTGTACTGTTTGCATTATTTTTTCCAACATTTTGAGCATTATTTGTATAACGTGCAACAGAAATCCTGGCTGGAACAGATACGACTGACGTTTTACCGACGTTTGTTGATGCGACTAACGTTTTATTGATGTTTGTTGACGTTTCGGCTAAACTGTCGTCGAGACTTCTTTTGAGCTTTTTGGAGTTGTCGTTAACGTTACTCGCTGAAAAATTTAATGTAATGTTATTAATCATAGTGCAAACGTGATGCATAAAACCTTCCTTTCCCTTCTCTCCTCGAAGCTTACCTTCGTACATGCTACGCTTCGTAGGCGGGACTTCCTTCGTTTCCAACGTTTCGTTTGCATTAAGAGACGGCATATCAAGGGCTTTCGTACGTGATGTATTGTCATTGCATACAACGTCAGGCACGCTTTCGAACACTTCGGGCGGCAGGGACGTAACATTGGTAATTTTGATATTCATAACGGGATCCCTGGAATTCATAATTACAGCGACCGTATCGGTGGTGTCCATCTTCTCCGCCACCTCTGTTTCCACCGAATTGCCATTGTCACTTGAGAATTCACCTAACGTGAATTCTTTTGGCGTAGCTACGACTTGTTCCGAAATGGCGGATACGCTTTCATTCGTTTTCTCGGATTTGCACAGAGCCTTCGGCTCTGGCGTCGTAAGTTTTTTTGGTAGATTTATGTCATCGATTTTCGATAAATCGATCGTCGTTACACTTTGGCTCTTGGAACTTCCGCTCGCGGAACTCTCCGTTGCGTTTAACAGCGGAACTTGCTTCGACGCCGACACGCAAGGATCACGCGAGTCCGATTGCGTAGGCTGTTGCGTAAGTGGAGCAGAATCATTTGTTTTTAATTTTAATGCAATAAGCTGTAACAGAAATAAATTAAATCAAATATAGTTTCATTTAGTGACGCACATGATTTGACGACTGACTTATCGAAAATTCGATGCTTTCAACTGTTGAAAGAATAGTTTATATTTTTTAAATCAATTACCTTCACATCATCATCGTCGTCGCTTTCAATTACGATGACATCCGCCTCCTTCTGCGTCGGTTGAGATTTTTCCTTATTTTTGCTGGACGACTGTTGATTTTTCTGAGAGCCATTTTCCTTGTTTTCTTGCTGAGAAATATTTTTACTTGTCGATGGTTTCTCATCATCGTCATTTTTCGACGATGATTCGTTGGCTTTTTCTAAATTCAATACAGTTGCGTTCTTTTCAAAGTTCTTCATATCTTTCCTTTCGGCTTTTAAATCCGACCTGTTAAAAGAAATAATAAGTTATATCGAGATATAAATATCTTACAAAAAAAAATCGGATTCCTATTATAATAATAATCATCAAAATTAACCATTTTTTCAGCGTGTCCATTTTCTGCTTTAATTTAAAAGAGCGTGGCCCAGGTCGCAATCTAACGTCCAGCATAGAATCGAGTGAAGAGGAAGATGAGTCGACTGATGCGCACGGCGGCATGGGAAAGTCAGTTCCCACAGAGAGATCTGTATCGCTGTCCAAATCCGAGTTAGAGTCTGAATCTAAGACCGAGTCCGAATCTGAGTCTCTACTCTGATTACAACTGAAAGGAAAAAAAAAAGATTACGTAGATCGCTGTTAAATGAGAGATATTAATTAATTAATGTTGTCGTTTAAGAAATAATTTAATGTTAACGTTTAAGAAATAATTTTTTAGAAATCTTCCACAATTTTTCAACAATTGAAAAACAGATGCATACCTGCCTACTGCAGACCTATTGCTCAGCCTTGCGCGTTTCTCGCGTTCTGAATTACCTTTACAAAAAAAATACACAAGATTACAAAAACAATATTGCGAAGAAAAAGCTACAAGATTACAAATCATAATTGTATCGTATCCTTCTTTTACGAGATACTTACGTAATATGGAAGTACATTCCTCACATTCCCACATCGGATTGGCCCACTTTAACTGACCGCAAGCCATATGGATGCCTTGCGAACCGCAAGTACGACATAGCGCCAATTCCCATTTACTGCATCATTAAAAAAAAATTGTTATGCTTACCGTATCGCATATAGCATTTAATTATTGTTACAAGCAATTATTACTTACGCATTATGACTTGTATGCTTCCTCCCCTTTGGGCAGAGACACTTCGATGCGTCGCACTGATCATGCCTGTACAAAAGCTCCTCAAACGCGTTTGGTATCAATTCCCACGAAGCATCCCTAATGATGATAAAAACAAAAATCTTATAGGCTATTGTCTATTTTACACGCACTATATAAAAATAATTTTCTAAAGTTAGAAATACGGAGAAATTACTTTTTAACTAACAACTGACATTCACAAAACTTGAGAAGATGCAAATGAAATAAAATAAAAATAAAGAAAAATAATCGAATTTTCTTCCCATACTCACTGATTTGGCACGAAAATGCCATATTCCTGCATAGCTTTTAGAAAATCTTTCTTATTATTACATAAGGGACACTTGAAAAAATATCCTGCACTCAATGCGAGTTGCTGAAACGAGAGATTGTCTTGGATCTATAATCTTATATTTAAAAACAAAAACACGCCAGATTTATATTAAGACTAACCTGAACACAGTTGCGATGAAACCACGCATCCTTTTTACAACAGGGAGCCCACAAAGTTTTCACAAAGTCACTTGTGTTAATTTTGTCATAACAAATATAACATACTACATTATCTACTGGACCAATCTGCTTTAAGATCTGATCGTCGATTTTTTGTATCGGCCTATGATTTATGCAATACGATCTGAAACGATTCCAAATAAATTAATTTGATGGTCACTGCGATCGCAATCGTCGCACAGTCTCTGATCAGTCAATTTGATATATTCTCCCCTCACCTAAATTCCCCGAAAAACTGATGTAGGGAACCAGCTTTCAAGCCACAGGGAAAGTGAAAGATCCGCTTACATCTTACATTACAGCAACCCAAAGTAGCACCAATCTTTTTGCAGTATGAGCATACCTAGAATCATTAAAACCTATGCATCAGGATCTTCATTGAGCAGCACAAATATAACTATTACTGTTACATAACCGTAACTATAACTACTTAAGACAGATTAACACAGATGACTGGATGATAGAGTGAGCATATTCTAACTAAGCAACGATGGGAGAAAATCTAGATATATTTAAATACATGAATAAAACGAACAAAAGAAAAAAAAACCATAACTACTTAAAACAGATTAACATGGCTGGAACTGGATGGAGGAGCGAGTATGTTTCAACTAAGCAACGGTGGGAGAAGATCCAGATTATATTTAAATACATGAATAAAAAAATAGAAAAAGTAATATAATCATGGACATAAACAATATAATATTAAAAACAAATGGTTACAAACAACGAGAGAGAGCGTGGAAAGATTGAAGGTACAAATCTACCACCTGATGGTACAACACACCAAAAAAAAAATTCCAAGATATCAACACTTTTCAAGTAAATTAGAATTAAATATTATGCTACTTCTGATATATTTACCAATCTCTTTCCCCTGCGAAGTTCCTTTTGTATATCCTCCGCAAGAAATCCGAGTATGCCTTCGTCATCCCTCCCCTTCTGTTCCATATTCGAGGATAGGAGCTGAAAGAAAATTCGAGCGAATAGTGGCAAAAAGCGACAGTCTTGAAAGACATTGTGGTCTCCTCAGCGGGGTTGCCTTGGAGACATGCAGTCTTTTAGATTGCACTTAGATTGGTTGGGCAACGTAACAATAAAGACGGAAGCAATTGGAGCTCAGACGTATCAACCTGTAGGCTACATTCCAAAACGTTGGCACACGTAACCATCAGCTTTTTAGTAAAATTTCCCTCGAAAGCGTTTTGGAATACAGCCATATGATACACTCACGATTACCGTGTCGCAACGCTGGAAACTCACCAGACAATAGTAGTGCGTGGCGATCCCCTTGTCCTCGTACATCTTCCCGTACTCCAGTTCATTGTCCTCCGCCGAGTTGCAGAAGGAGCAGGCCTTGGTAGGGGACGACCTGGCCTTGGCGGACATCGTGCCTGATTGACAGAAGATCGCGAACGGTCAGACGGATAATCTCAATGGCAATCACAATCGCGCGCAGAGACAAGCACGCGCGCGAACGGACAATAAGGAGCGCGCTTATCCAACCGATGGGGATTGTTCATCTGGTAGACGCGTCGTCGCGCATGAAGACAATCACGCCGCGAGAGCAGTGTGATGCACCGCGTAGGTCGCGAGTCAAAACGAGCCGGACGCGCAATTTCTTCTCGAGGTCCGAAGGTCCGCTTCCACTCCTCGCACACGGGGAAGGGAGGAAAGGAGAGGGGAGGGGGAGAAGAGAAGAGAGCCGTAAACAAAAGCGCCTTGAACCTGAGCTGAACGGCGTCGATCACGCGATCCCGCTAACGCCGTTTAATGCTGACGATGCGGTTGACCGGAAACGCGAACGACGCGAACCATCCCGGTGAACAGTTGCGAGTTGCGACTGCCCTGTCCGTGATCCACGCAATTCGGCGGTCCCACCCGCTCGCGCAGAATTCCGCGCCTCGTCAACGAAGGACGGCTCTCCCCTTTCGACAGGTCTTTCCCACAAAATCACCGTCCTCATTCCCCATTCGTACCGCGGGGCGAACGATCGCTTTCAAATATTTATCTATCTATGACGTGTATGTACCGACTTACTTCGATTTGGAGGGAAAACGAAGCGGCTGATCGCTCGTCACCGATTGGTCGCGACGAGGGTGATCCGGGCAGCCACGGGCAGCTGTGAAGAAGGCGCTTCTTTACTCCCTGGTTGTCGCGCGCGAAACCGACCAACCAAAATTGCGTCCGTTCTTTGTGTTACGAGAGCATCCTGAGCGCACCAGCGCTGCCCGCTGGATAAATTTTAATACTGCTCCCGATAATTACGGCGCTTCCGACTGTCGATATATCGTTTACCGACCGACAATTTTCACTTTCAATCGCGCGTCGATTTAAACACCTGGCTATTTAAATTTAATATAATCTTGAAAACGTCTCGAAGTTTAAAGATTTCAACGTAACAATTTCCAGGTATATGAAAATCGAAAAAGAATTAGGAAAATATAATCTTGGTAGGAGATAACATAAGGAGATGGATATATATAAGATTGGAAACTATAACCATTATATACATGTATAATTATTGCATTAATTTCCACGAGAATAATATCGGTTTTCTAATAAAGTTATATATTTATGAGTTTAGACGTCGAAAGCCTCCTATTATTTAATATCAATTGCATATGATGCATTAATTATGCTTGGTCTATTTGTGCTACGTTGTTTATGTTAACAATATTAATGTGTTCGAGTTCACATACAAAATGCGAGATAATTTTGTCTTATTATACCATGGGCGTAACACGCTATATATGGGCAATAAGCAAGAAGAGATTGTCTGCTAATATTGCTAAACGTGTGAATATAATTAATTATGAAAAAAATAATTATTATATAAATACATAAATTATATTTGTTATCTAGTGCGCCTGCACGATCTGTAATATTTTTTTTAACGCTTATCAATGTTTTTTTTTTTTTGTAAAATAATATCTTCGAAGATTAATGACACTTGAGTAGTAAAAATTGTTGATTTATTTCTTAAATTATTAAAATAAACGTGTAGATTTCTAATCTCTCTTCCAATTTTAATAGTTTAAAAAGAATTTTATATTTTTCTACAACGTTAGATAGACTGTACTAATGGTATTCGCCACTTTTATGTCGCTTTGCGTGATGCAGATCACATAAGGATATTTGTTCATATTTTTGTATCTATTAGAAAATAATCTCTAAATCCAAACAATCTTTTTTTATTGAGGATATCCGCAATTTGTACATATTTTACTATAGTAAAATAAATAATAATTAATATATTAACGGTTTTTAGCCTTCTAAATTTTTGCGCATGATAAAATGATACTACAAAGCCAAAGCTCATCAATGGTATAAAATATGTTTTTAAATTCTCATGAAATTACACTCTTAAAAAATCCTCAATATATATTATACATACGCAATGATATCGATTATTTAACGTCTAATATCTACGTTTAGATGATTGGATCCTGTGGGTGGGATCCTCGTCTTTCTTTGAATTCTAAAAGATAAAATATATTATACTATATATGGAAACTAAATTATATAATTTAATAAACATAATAAATCAATAGATATAAATATATATGGTAATAAGTATAACATCACTAGTAGATAGGCAAAGTGAGGTAGACTAAATAAAGTTGATTTTTACTACTTTGCTATTTCTGTTATAATTAATAATGTAAGAAAAATAATTACCTCTTTCGTTGAGACGGCTGGAGAATCATATTTCGAAATAAGTTGAGATCGATACAATATATTGGTCTAAAGACTCATTTTCATCATCACTGCTTGAGCTAGATTATTAATATATTATCATTAAATTATCATTTAAAAAATAGAGAATAAGTAGTATTTCATATTACAAGCATGCATGTTACTTGATCATTATATCTAAATTATCGTTTCTAAGATTTAAGTGATATTTATAGATATATTTAACAATACATTAATATTTATGTGTGTAGTTTATTTATTATGTATGCATTATATGCGTACATAAAAATCTTTTTAAAATTTTACATTGAAAATAAAACTATAGTAACTAAATTTTATGGTTATTAAATTACTTTTACTCAATATAATAATCTTATATCAACTATATATTTAATAAGTGAATAATAAATTGGAAAAAAGTTTTAATTCACGTTTATGCTATCTATCAATAATATAAGAAAAATGTGAATAATTACTCAGTAAAAGCTTCCTCCGTCTCATCCCGAGCACACATTTGTATCTTTTTTACACTTACTTCAAAAAGTTCAAAATGGTTTTGAAATTCCGATATTTCTTTTAGTAGGGATTCATCGATTTCTTGTAATTCTGGTATTATTATTCTTTCTAGGTTTTCAATGTTTTGTTTTACCTTATCGATGTTCAGACAACGTTTCTTCAAACTGTAAATATATATAAAATTTTTTAAAATTGTAAGTTAATTTTTGTTTCATATTAGTAATTACGCTTGATACTTACAGTTTAATAAATATTATCTTAAATAGTTTAATAATGCCTTTGCGAGCCGACACGAATGTTGGTGTATAATAATAATTTTTACTGTATACATATTAATTATATAATTATTTTAATTTGTAATTTGCTATTCTTACGTTACATGAGTTTGATAGAATCAGATGTAGGAAAGCTTAAGTATTCTGTGATTTGTTATTTATAAATAATATAAAACAATTACTAAATAATTATATGACTTGTAACATAACATAAAATATTCTTGTTAAAGTTAATGAAAAAGACGACTCCCGATGGCGCAGGCAAGCATGCGATATAGACGGTTGGAGACAGTTGACCGTGCAAAGTTGAGCGAAAAACACTCTCTGTACTTTCATACTAAATATATTAATTATAAATTGTAGTAATATTTTTGTTACTGTCCCATATCCACAACAAATCTTGTATAAGAAAGTTCATATTTAAATTCTCATCAGATTAGTTTATGTAATCTATCAATAATATGAAAAATGTGAATAATTACTCTGCAGAAGTTTGTGTATTCTGGATATACACTTTAAATATTTTTAATATCTCTGTATCTATTTTGCTAAGAAACATTATCATTGTTCGCACTTTTGATAGATCTTTTATGTGATCTTCACAAATTTTTTGAAATTTCAGTGTTTGTTTTTGCAGTTCTTTTATTTTTTCATCGTTCATTTGCTCCTCGATGATGTCGTCCAGACTGTAAAGATCCATAAGATTTTTAATTGTGAGTTAATATCTGTTTTATATTAATGAATATGCTTGACACTCTTGCAGTTTAATAAATATTATAGAATTACTTCCAATTGTAATTTACTATGCTTAACTTATATGCGAAATTTGTAAAAATTACAGAACTATAAAAGCTTAATTAATTATTGATTGGCTATTTTGTAAATAATATAATTATTCAAATAATAATATATATATCTTCGTAATATAATAAAATAAAAATTATATTTCTGTAGAGAAGTTTATGTTTGATCTTCAGATTCGTTTATGTTATCTAATATTAAAAAAAAAGAATAATTAGTCATTAGGAACAAACTTTTTCTCCAAATCCTTTCTCCATGTTTCGAATATGTTCAATCTTTCATCAAAGTGTGTTATTTCCTGTTGTAATTCAAGATTTTCATTTTGTAGTTGACGTAGTTGATTCTCATACTTTTGTCGGGTTTCATAATTTTGACTCCTGTAAAAATCCATAGAATTGTTTAATAATAAATTAATTTTTAATTTGTATCAATAATTATGTTAGACACGTTCCATGCCGTGACAAGATTCAAGTAACTTAATTACGACGCGCCACCAACCCGCATGAAATGTGTATTAATAAAAAATAACAATCATATTATGAATTTAATTAATAAAATATTAATTACATTATAAAAATGTGAATACTAATGTAACTTTGTGTGTATTATTGCAATGAACGTATATCTTAAATGATAATAGACATAACATCTTTGATAGACAGATAGAGTGGATTAAATAGAAATTAGTTATCAATTTTGTGAAAATCACAAAACAATACAAGAATTTTCTATTTAGTTCATCTATCTTTTCACAATGGATTCGCTGCCACGTACCCGCGAATATCAGCACACATTAGAACTTGAATATTTAAGATTTTGATTATATTCGCACAATCATTAATACCTCTAATATATTCTCTATTTCCATAGAATTTTAGTAAAAAATGTTACAAAATGTATTATATATTAATTAATATTAATATTAATAATTTTTAATTAATATATCTATAATAAAATGATAACATTTTATTATAGATATATTTATATGTACAAGTGGGTTACAGAAAGATTGCAACACTTTTTATTTTGAGTTTTGGAATGTACTAATATTTCGGGAATGTGAATCACGATTGGTGTACTGCCTCTAGATTAGCTAGAGGCTATATGTGATTCGCAGTATACTCGAAATTAGTGGGTTCCAAAGTTCATCAAAATAAAAAGTGTTTCAACCTTTCCGTGACCCATTGTACATATGATGAAATAATATAATTTTTTTTTTGGTATTTTATTATTATGAAATTGTCGAAACAAATTGAATAAAATTGACACGTTTTGACGAGTATAAAAGATTCTTTTTTTTCATACTTACGGGAAATCTTTGTTGCAATTGTGTATCAGTGATTCCAGAAATTTTAGTAATTCATTTATCTTCGTTGATAATTGATCATGTATTGCCTGATGATCCATTCTGTATTTGTTTTCTTTAAAATTACTCCTATAAAAGGTTAATAAAAAACAGTAACTTCTAGATGGAATAAATATTGAGATGTATATACCGACTGTCTAACCGACAGATCGTCCAATTCTCTGCGCGCCGCGCAGGAATAACCGATCGCGATCATCTAGTGTGCGGCACGGAATTATATTCATTTAATATTGATGACCGTCTAATGTTAGCAAAATGCGAAATTTGTTTCTAAAAAAATTATTAACTGTTTCTTCAAGAATGTTATTAAATCACCAACTCAAATATTTGAGTTATCACCATGATATGTATTTCTTGATGATTTATATTAACAGAGATACTCCTGAAGAGATAATTAATCGCATTTGGAAATAAATTTTGCATTTTGCAAGTTCACTTTAAGTTAAAGTGAAATCTCACTGCAAAGAGGGAGATCGCATTTTGACTATTCGCTACAGTGAAATTTCACTGCTTTGCAGTGAAATCTCACTGCAACGAATTTAGAGTGATCCAAATGAATACGTGTCGCCGTAAGGGCATACACGATACAAATATCAAATGGCTTTTCGATCGCAGAATGCGAGCACGACCTCCCCAGTTTGCTCGTGGCTTCACGATACATTTTAAAAGAGGGCCATCTCACCTGCACGATCTTCGCTCGTTGGCTTTTTGGCCTTCTGCAAGCTGTTGTTCAAGCCTTCCGAATTTTCTCCCTCTTTTCGTTTGCTCACACGGATCAACTGCGGTCGATGGGATCTGGCGTAATTTGGCCCAATTTTTTTAAACGGTATGACGAATATACTAAGTTAGATGGTAAAACTGACTGACTGAACGGAAATTAATTTAAGGAATATACGAAAACGCCACAAAGATTCTAGAACACTGACTCTGCGAAATCGGATTGTGCACGCAAAACGTTGATCGCGATCGACGGCGGCAAACCCCCTACCTTGGGGTGTGCAATGCCGCGGCCAATGGCAGCGTTCCGTTTCACGCATGACGTACATGTGCCCTTGTTGTTGAAAAATTAAGGTTAAAAGAATAAATCACGTGCATCATGCGTGAAACGGATGGAACGCAGCTCATTCCTCTCTCCTCCAAGAAATTACGGTTGCCCGTGGAATCTTTCTTCGTTAATTCCTCGTCGTCTCCTCTCCCCTTACCCGGGCGACTCTCCCGTCCGGCGAGGCGCCCCAATGTACAAAATAATTAAAAAAAATAAATAAATAAAATAAATAACGCGCGCGAAATAATTTGAAGCTTCCTGGAGATCTCGGTCTCTCATTTTCCCTAAACGTGCCGGTCCGGCACCAGGTGCGAACCCGCACCAGCGGCGGTCGGGACGCTGCGCCGCTGCGTCACAACACATTATATAAAATATTTAATCATGTTATTTAAATATCATCTTATGTGCTTCTGCCAAAGTAATTGAATCTTCTGTAGAAGTAATTGAAATAGCGTTGTGTGTGGATATAATTCAAAACCCGATACATCTTTTGTATATTTTTCACATTTCAAATATTTAATACTGTTACTTTCAATTCTGTATAAAATTAATATTGTCCGCCCAATCATTTTACTAGTAATGTAATTAATACCATTCAGCAACTGCATTTAATTCCTTAATTCCGCTGGAATTGTTTCCGTAAATAACACTATTAATGTGGGAAATCTGCGCGAGCTCCTTGCGAGCTTGTGCCAGCCGATATAAAACCGGGCAGTCCAAAGACACGCATTCTATGTCACCCAATCGTCCAATACAGGAATGGCAAATCTAAAAAAAGTTTATTATTAAATAATGATTATCGACCGATCGCAATTTACAGCTTAAGGATGCTTAATATGAAATATTTTTTATTATTTTGTACATTGGGACGCCTCGCCGAACGGGAGAGTCGCCCGGATGAGGAGAGAGGAGACGACGAGGAACTCAATTAACGAAGAAAGATTCCACGGGGAATCCGTAATTTCTTGAAGGAGAGAGGAATGAGCTGCGTTCAATCCGTTTCACGTTTAATAACACACGTGTTTCCGTGTTTAATGCTTACAGCAGTAATCTGCTGATGATTCCTTTCCAACTGTTTTATCTTCTCGAGGAGCACGAGAACGGTCCGGCTTGGTTGCGAAAGGCAATCTGGACAAATCTCTTTATTGGTCTGTTCCCCACAGGTGATGCACGCCGCGGAACTGAAGAACTGGCGAATCGTAGACTTCGGATTGTCACCTCCCAAGTGTGCAATGTGGTCGAAATTGGAACGATGGGAGATTTCTTTATACCTGTAAACGTATAAATGTCCCGTTATCTTCATAATTGTAACTTGATAATCACGAGCGTTATACAGAGTTTGGGTAAAATAATTAGTTTATTATTTAAAAGAAAAATAAAAAAAATTAAAAAGCTGATTAATTTTAAAATAGGGATTTAAAAAAATCTATTTTTAAAAAATTACGACATTCTAATTTAATCTAAATGAAAGTTTTTAAAATAAAAACTTTAGTTAATTTAACTCTTACTTCAACTTTAACTAAGTTACCCTTTTGTTTATGCAACTTTTAACGTTAATAAATTAATTTTACAAGTTATAAACTTTATTCTAAGTTGAAAAAAATGTACTGACTTATCCAACTCTGCGATTATGTAAATACATAATATTAATTATTAAATACATAATAATTTATATAAACGCGAATAAGGATTATCATGGAAGTAACGCGACTCAATGTGTCGTTTAAATATTCTGTAATTTCCCCTGTGATTTTCGCGTACTTACCACACATTGGCGTCGATCCCGAATAAATTGAAGCACCGATTGAGGGGTGGTATGATGACTTTCGTTATGTAATACACGGAGTTTGGAATTAATGATGGATCGGCGACGACTTCCATCGGCGTGCGCACGCACTGGATAAGCGCCTGATTCGGTGCACCCGCGACGATGACATAGCGCACGCGCTCGCTGGTGCGCGGCACGGCGCGGGGATCCTTCCTGGTCAGTCGGCGCGTCAGCTCCAACGCGGGCACGCAAGCGTTGGCCTTGTATCCGCGCATTCCGCGAAACTCTTTCGCGAACGTCAGATCCAGGATGGACACGCGTCGCGTGAAGATCTTGTCGAACTGCCTGATCACGTACTGCTTCACCTGGGAGACGTCCTTCGTCTCGAACAAAATTTTAAGGGATCTCTCGAGTATCTGCAATATATACGCGAATATTTAATTTTTACATTGCAAGA